GAAACGCATGGGAAAGTTCCAGGGAATGGTTAGCGAATTCTTGGCTTCGGCACGGTGCCGTTGGAAACGAGGCTGACTTGGTTCACGCTGCCTTGTCGCTCCTGAGATATACTGCTCCCCTGCTCCCTCCCCGAGACCTGCCTCGTGCAAATGGAAACCCGGGTCAGTTTAATTTGGCGGAGTGATTCCCATCCCCCGTTTAAAACCCTGCTTGGCTTTGGAGACCAGGGCCAGGGCCAGGGAGAGTCAGTTTTGTAGAGGCCACGCACCAGTCTGGCGCAGGTCGCACAGCACAATCCCCGCAGCCCAAGGAAGGTCAAGGTGGCCTTTATTATCTGTAGCTTGTTATCTCCTTGGGTTTTTTCCCCCAGATGTATTTGGAGCTGTTGTCCTCTCTTGGCCGCCAGGACATGCCATGGGTTGGGATCCCTATTCGGGCCAGGGCAGGAACTGCTATCCTTGCTGGCAGCAGCTCTCTTCCTCCAGGGAAGGGGCCTGAAACATGGAGATACTGGCTATTTATGTTAGCCGGGGAGCTGCTAAATCCCTCTAATTGCCATTATGATCCCCGTGCCAGAGCAGAGGTCTGATTCAGCTCAAAGCCAATTGATCTTCTCCCCCTGACTAGCTTCAAGCTGGGTGAGCGCCCTGAGCTGGCTCACTCTGCGTTTAGCTTGGTCACGGACCCCTCCAAAGTAGCTGTAACTGTTGGCTGCAAGCATTTGCCACCACCCAGATGACTGCGCTCTGCCTTTCCTCGCCGGCAGCAGCCGGGGCCCCCGGCTGGCTGGCTGCCCCGGGGGGGGGCAGTTAGCGTCAGCTCCCTCCATGAGGACCCGGCTGCTGCTCACTCGTGGCGCCGCTCCAAGACAGGCGAGAGAAAAGGGGGTTTGTGCATTGAGAAGGGAGGAGAAACATCATGTTCGGTGATCAGGCTGTGTCGGTCACACAGGACCCCTTCCCTTTCCTCAGCTGTCCACTTCCCTTCTGCCTTTCCTCTGCAGGAGAAAAGCGCTCCCATTCCACACGAAAGCGTTGATTTGTAGCATTGCTGTTATTACTCAACCATTTCCACTATTGTCTGCTGAGTTTTAAAAAGCCAGAGATGGTCCAAGCCCTTTTCCAGGGTCTTTTCCATGCCCGGCAGCCCCATCGCCTCTGGCCTGCTCGCCGGCGTGT